CTGAGGCTGATTTTAAGAAATAAGAATTTCTGACCTTAAGCTAAAAATCTCGCTGGGTGGTTTGGTTTCCCCAGACTGGCTTCAGGAGATTTGCAGAGGCCTAATTAGAACACCTATCTTAAGCCTACCCTCATGGACACCATGATTTGGGGCTTAAAATCGTGGTTGCAGAGGAAGAGACTATGAGAAGGAAGAAGCAAACCTAGCCATTATGAAAGCTAGTATTCGGGCTGTAACTCCTCTAGCCCTGCCTTTGATGTGTGTGCTTACATGTGCTCTACACTCTAAGCTGTTCCATGTGTATATATTTGTGTATGTGTGTGTGTGTGTGTATATACACATATCCAGAAGTAGATGTATTTATACACAGATATATACACACAAAATGATACCCTAAATAAGCAACCCATACCACCCTTAAAATGTCTTTAGAAAATTAACCCATGGAATGAGCAATAATATGTGAGTTATAAACATTCTTGCATATTGGCAGATAACCACACTACACATTCCCCTCCAAGAAATGAGAAAGAGAAGAAAGGGAATAACACAATAGCAGAAAAATGCACTAATCAAATCCATAATCAACTTTGATGATGGAGCAAGGATTCTAATCAAAACACAATGGGGCAGTCGCAACAGGTTGTGAGCTTGGAGCGGCACTCTCCTCCCAGGGGCCTCACCCACGCTTTCTTTTTAAATATCTAAAACACTCACAGAGGATTTCAATCATTTGTAATTGCTTTTTCAAAGAAAAGGGTTGAACACGAGCTCCTAAAAACAGGAAATATCAAAGTATTACATGTATTATCTGCCCCCCTCCACCACTGCTTCTTAAAAATAGGTTTAATGTCTCCTCAAATTGCTTGGAAGTGTTCCTTATCTGAAGGTTGGCCAAAGAAGATTTCCGAACTCAGAGCATGTCTCTAAAACAATTCTTTGCACATAGTCATAATTTATAGAGTAGAAGCTATAGATGGTGGTTCTTAGGGGAAGGCCCAGGTATCTCAGGGGATGCAGAGGAGAGATGTGTGGCTGCAGAGCAGTTTCCTCCACTGGAGGCTGAAAACCAGCTGGAGGTTTTGGGGAGATGCTTGAGTGAGGGGCTTCAGGGGTTCATGGTGGGGCTATTCGATGGTCAAGTTGTCTTCTTGTACTTGGTGGAGATGGAGAGCAGGCTTGGGGGCCAAAGGGAAGTCACTGGCTAAGGAGAGCTGCTGGGTCAAAAACAGCAGTTATAGTTTTCCCTGTGATGACCACATCGAATATTCCGAACCACAACTTAATAATAATAATCACCATCATTTCCCAAGGCTCTGTTGTAAACCAGGTCCTTACTGGATACCATCTCTCCAGCCTCTCACCTCCAGACTGCATGTTCAGAAATACCGTCCACCAGGAAGCCAGTATCTCCTTCCACTGCAAAGCCTCTGGTTTTTCTCTTCATCACCTTTTTAAATGGAAGATGCCAGATCCCAAGCAATTACTTGTTGCATGAAGTGACACATACTCCCACTTTGCACCACTGTGTGGCACTTCATGATCCTTTCTGGGGTTGCTCATTCTCCCCTTCTCTCCCCACCAGCCATTCCTGCCCATCTTTCAAGCCCAGCCCATCTCCTGCCTCCTCCATGAGGACCTTCCCTTCCTTCCAGAACCTTGAATTCCTAGCTCCAAGCACATTTCTTAGCTGTCTCTGTTGGGTACATAGTTAAGCCTTCCAGCTAGATAATAAAATCCCCAAGGCCCAAGCCATGTCTCATTTGTTCTGTGGGCCTGATAGAGCATTATAGAGGGAGGTAGCAATGCAGGGTGCAGATCAGAGGCATGGAAGCTAACTCAGCTAGGCTCCTTGCTCTGCCACACTAAGTGATCTAGAACAAGTGACTGAACTTTGCTGAGCCTCAAGCTCAAAGGTTAGAGCTGGGGTCTTATAAATCAGAGCCCACAGGTTATTGGGCAGGCTCAGTAGCCACCTCTGTACAGAATCATAGTTAAGGGGTTGGAGTCCAGAGCCAGACTGTCCAAGTATTAATTTTACCTCTGCTACTCACAAGGTTACTAAACCGGTCTTTGCCTTGATTTCCATGTGTCTAAAGTGGGGATAATTACACTTATCTCATTGCATTGTTATAAGACTGAAATGAGTTATTTTATGGTGAGCACTTAGAACAATTCCTAGCACCTAGGAAGTACTATGTAAGGATCTGCCATTATTAATATTGTTATCATAGAAAATGGATGTGTCATACCTGCTCTAAGTATTTATGGAAAGATAAATGAGATTGTGTGTAAAGAGGCTGTCACATTAGGCATGTGACAAGTGGTCCTGCCCTTCCTTCATCATCCCATTGAGTCTGGTACTGTATAAGGTATGCAGTAGAGGTTCTATAAATCCTTGTGAACAGACTGATACCTTCCTAATAAGGATTTGAGAGAATAAGCATATTTTTTTTCTCATTTAGAGGGTATTAGATCTGGGTTCAACATACTCTATCCCTGGAGTTAGCAATATAAATAACCAATTTTATTAACTATTCCTTATTTGTCAGAAACTACACTGAACACATTTTGTTTTTTTTTAATTCTCACAAATCTTGTGTTGTTTATGCCCATTTTTACAAATGGGAACACTGAGGCCCAGAGAAGTTAATGGAATAGGTCACCCAGCTAGTACAAGACAGATATATAAGACATCAATGATATGCACATGTTTTAAAAACCTGTGCTTTTTTAGCCACTGCACAACAGCCTCCTGCCAAAAGTCCCCTGAATAAAAGGGAGGCAGAGGCCTTGAAACATCATTCATCATTTCCTGGTTGTCTTCTTATGATAAACACTAGGTTTTGGACCAGGGAATTACCAGATGGCAATTCAGACTCAGTCCTCAAGCCATATTCAAGGGACTTTTCTGAAAGGTGAGTGTGCCCCATGTCAGTCAGAATGTAGGGACATCCTGACCAAATAGGCAAAATTCCTTTTGACAAAGTCACTTTGATGTCAGGGTGGGGCTATGAGAACAAGGATCTGCCACCTGTCACGGTCCCTAGGAACCCTGGATACTGTCAAGGAGAGGGGAAGCTGGTAAATCCAGGATGGTCCACTGGAAAGTGGCTGGTTTCCTTAACAGTCTATCCAAACCATCTTCATGATCAGTGCATGTGGGCCATTGAGGTGGTCTGAGAGGATGCTAGGGATTGTGGGCCAACAAGGAAGAAGGGAAGCAATGTCTTCAGGGAACAGGGCCCAGCGAGCCCAACAGGGAGAAGCTGGAGGACATATTTTCAGGGGACAGCATAATGAATCACCTTTCCAGAGCCAGCCCACTGCAAGTTCTCCAACAACGTTTGTTAATTGAAGGGTCAAATGGGCAAAACTAGACAGCTGCCTGGCTATGAACAGTCCTATCTTTTATCTTCCCCCTCATTCCTCGAGCCCTCCTCATCACGCTCAAGCGTATGTGTCACATTCTGAGTCACTGTCCTGGTCTCCAGCACACTGTCCACTACACCTTTTAATCCTTGCTCCATGGAGAACTAGCAGGAGGCACTGTCACACTCACCCCCGTTTCAGAGCCCCCTGGACAAATTCTGTGGCTAACAACAGAAAAAGAACAGAGCACACAACCCTAGCAGAGACAGGGCCGGGAGCATGGGAGGAAATCTTGCCTTCCTCCCACACACCATCACTCAAAGCTGTCAGCTTCCAAAAATGTTTAGCAAGTGCAGCAGCAAGGGCCATGCTTATCAGCCTGGTGAGGGAGCTTAATCTGCTTGGAGGGCCTTCTCTAGCCTAGAGTTCCAAAAGTCTGCTTACAATTAGCTTCCAGCTCCAGTTCCTCCATCAGAAAGTCTAGGAATGTGTTGAGCTCTAGCCTCTGATCAGAGAAAGCTCCAGGAGAAGGTGGGGACAGTGTCAGCAGGGAAGTGCCTGCCAAAAAGGTCAGCTGGTCTGTTGCCACTTCCCCTACACCAGCCCCAAAACTCCCCCTCTGGCTTCCAGCCTTTCCCTACCAGGACAGTCACATCCGTCAGGTCGGTCTGTCCCCAAAAGTCCCTGATGACTGGCTGCCAAGAAAATACAGCATGCCCCTGCTCCCTCCTACCAGAAGAGGGGGGAAATGCAGCAGGGAGGGCAGGAGGCCAAGAGAACGTGATTGGCCCTTGCGGATTTCCTTAAAAGAGATTGCACGGCCTGAGCCTGTCACCCAGCAGAACTGGGGAACTGGGTTGATGCCGGCTCTATCTGCAAAGGTACAAGTCACCATTTCTCTCCCAGCAATTCTCCCATCCCGGTCCCTACCCTCACTCCCACCTCCTCAGTCACCCAGGCTAGCAACCTCTGGTTCTCCTACCCAGGAAGGAGGGGCTTATCTTCGGGCGCCATGCCAAGCAGCTACCCCCACCCCACCGCTACAGCCAGCTAAGACGCTCGAAGTCTCCATCTGCCTGCAGTCCCAGCACCTTGCTGGAACTGGATTCCCTAAGAATGGGATAGGGACAGGGCCGTCTAGAGCCAAGAGGAGAGAAGGTTCACTGCCAGCCCCCGGCCCCCTTTTCCTGGATCTTGCAGCTAGGTCAGGGAGCTACGAACCCAATAAGGCTCAGACCATTCGTTGGCAGGGACCAAACCTCTGCAGAACCGGCAGACAGGCACAGCGGCAGCAGCAGACACTGCCTTCTTAGAGCCAAGCCCTCAAAATGCAGGACTTGACATTTCCAGTGCTGTACACGCTTTTTGAGAACACCTCAAAAAGAAGTGCACCCCCCATCCCCAGATGCCGCAAGCATGCCCGCACTCGGGATATGCAAAGCACCTTAGGCTAACCTCGGGCACCCGGGCCACACCCACTGGCCGGCCCACTCTCCTTGAGAACCCCTGCAATCGGCCAGCCTAAGGCAAATGGTTGCCCTCTCTTTCTCCCATCTGAACGTGCCCTCCCCAGTTGAAGTATTCACCCATCCCCACATAACAGTGCCCCAGCACACAGCACCTCTCACCTGGGTATCGAACCCGTTTTCCAACGAACAGCTCTTCCGCAGCGGGAGCCCCTCCCCTGCAGGTTCCTGCAGCCCTTGCGATTTCAGCGGGATCTGGCTGGGGTAGGCGGTCTTGCTCACCTCCACCTTGCTTCCCAACTTAAGGTAGCAGGGCTGAGGGCCAGCCCGGGCCGGGGGCACATGCAGGATGGGCGCAGCGCTGTGCACGGGTTTGGGCAGTCCCGACTTCATTTTGGAGGCTACCAGGATGGCCGGCATCTTCTCCCGGGGATTCGGCTTTCCCAGCACGTCCCTGGCAGCGGCGGCGGAGGCTACCGCTAAAGGCAGCGCGGGCAGCAGAGCAGGCGCCGGGCCTCGGCCCGCGAGGCGCCCACCACCAGCGGAGGAAAAAAAGAATCCCCGGGTAGGGGAGCTCCGAACAATCCGGCGAGCGCGTCCTCTGGGTGCCGGGATGAGGTGGGGGACTGGTCACTGCGTTCAGCCGGTCCCACCTGGACGGATACTGGAGCCGGGTCTCACGCCCCTTCAGGGCGGCCTGTTCAAGAGCTCTGGGCGTTCAGGGACTGCTGCCTCTGGCAATTTTCCTCCCGGGAAACCGAAACTCGGAAGCCCATATTAACTTGTCATTGCATCTCCGAAGTGAGATCCCTTTGGAAGAGAGCGAGCCGGCGGGAACGCACGAGTCCTCTCTGAAGAGGCGGGTGTGAGCGGGTGAGGGAAGGAGAGAGCGGCGGAGGAAGGAGAGAGAGGGGGCGCACAGAGCCGAAGACGTCTCCACGGAGAGGCGGTTGCCACCCTGCTCGCGAGCACCGCAGTGTCACCCGCGACGCAGCAAAGGCGCGACAAGAGCCCCCAAAAGGTCTCTCTCAGCGCGACAGTCACCACTGCCCAGAAGCCCCTCGGACAAATAGCACCTTAGCGCCTAGGAGTCTGCACATGCTCCGTGCGCTATAGCGCAGCAAGGCTGTGGCCGTGGGGCGCGAGCACCGGGACGCGCGGCTGGCAAGCTGGGCAGGGCTGCGCTCGCTAGCGGCTGCCGCGCTTCCCGGGAAGGCAGCGCTGGCTGCGGGGCTCAGCGCAGCGAAGGACAGGCTGAGGCCGGCGCGGCTACGGCGCGCGCTGACAGCCTGGACCGTCCCAACGCTCCCATTGGTCTGCAGCGCGCCAATCAGAGGCCGCGGCTCTCACTGCAAAGGGGGCGTGGTCTCAACTCCGGGGCCGCCGCCGAAACTCTGGGGCCGAGCTTGGCCGCAAGTACAAAGCCGGCTGGTGGCAGCTCTGCGGCACTGCTCCAGTCGCGCGCCACCGGAGGGCCGACACCCCCATATCCCTGAAGCCTTCTTTTGAAAAATGCCCTTTCGAACACAAACTCCCGCCTCGGGGCCCCTCGGGCACGGTTCAGGGGAAGTTCGTTTCCTTTTTCAAATTATTCTGGTCACCTTAACGGTTTGAGTCTTCCGGAGGCACGCCCGCAGCCTCGCTGCCCCCCATCTAGCTTGGACAGGGCGGTTCCTCGTCTCCCGCGTGAAGAACGCGCCAGCCATTTCTCCTCTCCTCTGCCTGCTCTTCCAGGCGGGTCGGGGGGGGGGGGCGGGGGCGCCCCACAGCTTCCTTTTCAGCTTTCAAAGGCTGCACATTTCACTTAACTATTTGAAGTATTTATAGGCAAATACAATGCTCAGGGAAGCCTCCCGCCCCAAGACAGCTCCTCCTCGCAACCTACCACAGACTCTGTAATTAGAGTGGCCGGAGGAAGCCTGGAGAAGCTCCGTGACCCCGGCAGGCTCCGGCCAAACCTTGCTGCGTTACAAGTAGGAATCCCTCCCTGTCCGCGCCGATGCGTTAGCTCCACAGGTTCCTCCACTTTAATTCGTAGTATTCCTTCCTCCTCTCAGTTGCTTTTCGGGTTCTACGCTGACTCAAAGTATATGTGTAGAAGGAAACGGGTGATCCATGCAGGTCTGATCCCTCAGGATTCATGGATGACGAACCCCCTCCCTGTGGATCAGCCTGGATTTGAATAGGTCAAGTTCTCCAACCTTATATGCATTCTTCTACGTGCATATTTTCACATGTAAAGTGGAGGTTTGACGTTTACATAATACACTAAAGTTTGGGCTAAATGAGACTGAGTGACAGTTATTTAGCGCTAGTACCTGACAATGTAGGAGACCAATAAAAGTTGTGTCCCTATTATTGAATTGCTGCTGCCCCGCCCCCATCATCTCTATAAGCTATTTGTCTCTTTTGCTCTGGGATACAGGTTGTCTCTTTGTGCCCACTATATAGCCTGATCTACAATGCTGATGACATTGATTTATAATTATCCAGATGTTATTGATGGAATGTTGGAGTCCCCCTGCCCCAAATTCATATGTTAAAACTCTAACCCACATGTGACGGATGAAGAAGCTCTATGACCTGGGCAGCTTGTTACTTGAGAATTGTGATGGTATTAGGAGATGGGACTTTGGGGGGGGGTAATAAGTTCGTGACTGTGGAATTAATATCTATATCAGAAAAGACAGGGTGGAGTTGATCTTTTTCTGCCTGAAAAGATATAGCCAAAAGGCAGCCTTTGTGAACCAGGAGAAGGACCCTTGCAAAGAACCTAACAAATGTTGGCAGTCTAATCTCAAACTTTCAGCTTTCAGGCTTATGAAAAACAATTCTTTGTTGTTTAACTCTTGCAGTTTACAGCATTTTTGTTATAACAGCTTGAACTGACCAAGATGCCAGACCAAAGGAAGATTGAGTTTTAAAACAACCTCTGTAGCGTTAAAAAATGGGAAGTGACTTCTTGCCCTGGCCTGCTTCCCCCTTCAATCTTCCATCTATTCTATATATAATGACTTTCTACTCTAACTAGGCTGAATGTACACAGCCCTGTATGTAAGCCTGTTGCAGTTATCCTTCCTCTCTGAAATTAAATCACATGTGGTCCATGACACAAAATGTCCCTTTGCCATCTGATGCCACTTCCTGTACTGTTGTCTTAACTTATTATTTATGCATTTATTCTCTTTTAAGTGGATACACATTTTGAAGCTCAGCACTGCATTTTAACTTTCCTTAGATTCTCTCAATATCAAGTATAATGTGGACAACTACCCAAAGTGTTACTAAATGACCAAGGGAATGATAGCAGCAATTCTCAAGTAACAGAGGTTGCCTTTTAGATCTATGAACATAAGGACATACTAAATGTTATGCTATATTAAACCATGAATTCTGGTTCTGACAGATGGACCAGAATTCTGGTTCTCACAAGATGAAACAAGAATTATAGAAGAAAATTGCTGTCTTCATCTTCTAAAGATCCTGGAGATATTCCAAAGTGTTCCTATGGCTCTGACGAAGCAGTTCCCAAATGTGACCCAAGAGTAGCAGCTACAATATTACCTGGAAACTTGTTTGAAGAACTGCCTCATACTTATTTAATCAAAAGCTCCCATGGGGCGGGGCCCAGCAATCTGTGTTTTAACAAATGTTTAACTCAGTGATTTTGATGCATGCTAAAGTTGGAGAACTTCTCCTAACCAATGTATCATGCAGTCAATGCACTTCCAGAGCTTATTAAACCTTAGTTTGCAAAAGAATCTCTGGAAATCTTGCTAAAATACAGGTTCAGATTCAGTAGGTCTGAAACGGGGCTGGCTGAGATGCTGTTTTCCAGATGATAAACTCCCAGGAAGTACCCACAGGGTGGTCTGGAGATCACCCTGTGAAGTAGTAAGGTTAAACCAGAGGCAGCAAAAGTGTCTTATCTCAAGGGCCATCTGTAATTAAGTGCCTTTCTGCTACTGTGGTCTGAAAAGGATACTGAGGGTGCATCTAGATCTATTTGGAAACAGCAGCCTGGTCAATTGATAATGCCTGGCATGGGTATAGAAATGGAAATAATGACATATATACCTTCCATTTGCCAATTTGATTTTCCAGTTAAAACAGAATTGCCAGCAAGGTAATTGCTTGAATTCTGAGATCCAAATATGTACAAATATAAATAACAGTGCATTCTCTTTTTTTGTATTAAAGTACTTCTTTCTAATATTCTAGGATTTGGTAAGCATTCACCTTAACTCCTATAACTAAAAGTCTGAAATTTTCTCATCTTTCTTGATTGAAGACAAATTCATCTTGTAATTAGCTTCCAAATTTCTTTCTCTGCCTCTTCATCCCTCAATAATTTTATTTGCTCTTTCCTGGAACATTTTTTTAATCTCTCTTTTATATTTCCCACAAGCCTTCATATTTCTTATTTAAAGCAAAATAATGTATCATACTAACCAGACAAGGTAAAAAATAGCAAATAAGAGGCAAATAAGAGAATTATAAGATTCCTCCTTAAATAAGATCATCTCAAATTATAAAAATGTCCTGTAAATGTATTCCTTCCACATGGATGCTCTGTGAAAATGAAAGAAGTAATTTAAAATCAACATATTTGGCAAGCATTGGGAGCTAAAGAAGTCACTGGGTTAGAGAACTAAAAGCTGTTCTGGAAAGTATACTATCCAGTTTTTTTTTTAAATGTTATTTTGTATTACATGCATTATGGACAAAGATACAAACTTGAAATATCCCACCATTTTCAATCTTAACTTAGACAACTCTTTCTCTTCTGACTCTAAGCTTTCAAAATCACTCAAATGTCAGTGATAGGCCAATTCAAAACTTATTGCCTAAGATCTCAGGACCACTGATGTTCTTGAGTTTGGACAGTTCCTTGGCTACAAGAGCCAGCCTCAGATCTGGAAGCACCAGCTTGCCCTTTTCTGATCCTCAACATCAGCCACTGATGAGGATGAGGGTAAATTGGGCTTCAGAATGGACCTTCCACTGATCAACCCCATCAGCCCATCCTTCATCTGAGTTAAAGACACCATCTGCCTGACCTCCCAAGAAGATAGTGAAGAGCTGAGAACATTGAAACTCCAGCCTGTCACTATAAAGATGCAAGGATCTGGGGCAAAGTCAACAGCCTTCCAGAAACCCTCAATTATAAATGACGCGGAAAAATGTTGAAAGTCTCTGGAGTAATTTGAAAGGAAAAACATCCATAAGCCTATCTGTGAGTTAAAAATAAAACACACTTCTCTACAAAAGAAACAATCAATGAAATGAAGAGAGAGCCTACATTTTGGAAGCACATTTTTGCCACATGCATGTCAGATAAAGCACTAATTTCCAGGATACATAAAGAACTCAAAAAACTTAACACCAAAAAAAAATATTATAAATAAATAAATAAACAACCCAATCAATAAATGGGCTAAAGAGCTGTATTGTATTTCTTCTTCTGGGAAATGTCAGAAGAAGAAATACAATCAATCAACAAATATATGAAAAAAATGTTCAACATCTCTAGTAATTAGAGAAATGCGAATCAAAAATACTCTAAGATTTCATCTCACTCTAGTCAGGATGGCAGTTATCAAGAATACAAGCATCAATAAGTGTTGGAATGCAAATTGGTGTAATCAATCTGGAAAGCAGTATGGAGATTCCTTAGAAAACTTGGAATGGAAACATCATTTGACCCAGCTATCCCACTGCTCGGTCTATACCCTAAAGACTTAAAATCAGCATACTACAGTGATGCAGCCACTTCAATGTTTAGAGCAGCACAATTCACAATAGCTAAACTGTGGAAGCAACCTAGATGCCCTTCAATAGATGAATGGATAAAGAAACTGTGGTACATATACACAATGAATATTACTCAGCATTAAAAGAGAATAAAATCATAGCATTTGCAGGTAAATGGACAGAGTTGGAGAATATCATGCTAAGCAAAGTAAGCCAATCCCCAAAACCAAAGGCTGAATGTTTTCTCTGATAAATGGATACTGACTCATAATTGGGGGGGCATGGGGAGAATGGAGGAACTTTGGGCAAAGGGGAGGGAAGGAGGGGTAGGGGGAATGGGGATAGGAAAGATGATGCAATGAGATGAACATCATTACTCTAGGAGCATGTATGACTGCACATGTGGTGCAACTCTACATCATGTACAACCAGAGAAATGAAAAGTTGTGCTCCA